TACGATGTCTTGAATCGTTTTTTGAATCATTTCCCAAAAGGATTGGGCTTTACCACAGGACCACCACGTGTGGTAGTAAGATCCAATATTCTGTTTACACTTCCAACAAATATTTGTCCATGACATGTTAAATTTAGCTATTTTTACCGGGTATAAATACCATCTATTTACTACTTTATATATGTTTTCTTTAAAAGTCATAGAACTAGTAATTTTAATATTAGTTTTCCAAATCTTAATCCTATTTGTTGTTGTTGTTCAGTCGCACAGTCGAATCTGACTCTTTGCGACCCCATGGCCCAGATCACACCAGGCCCTTCTGTCCTCCATCGTCCTCCGGAGTTTGCTCAACTTCCAGCTCGTTGCATCGATAACACTGTCCAACCATCTCATCCTTTGCTGTCCCCTTCCTTTACTTTCAGTCTTCCCCAGCATTAGGGTCTTCTCCAGTGACGGCTCCCTTCTCATTTGGTGGCCAAAGTATTTAAGCTTCAGCGTCAGTATCTGGCCTTCCAGGGAACAGTCAGGGTTGATTTATTTTAGGACTGACTGATTTGATCTTCTTGCCATCCAAGGGACTCTCAAGTGTCTTCTCCAAGACCATAATTTGAAAGCATCTATTATTTGGCACTCAGCCTTTTTTATGGTCCAGCTCTCGCAGCTGAGGGTGAGAGCTTGTGAGGGGCCCAAGGTTACCTGGTGGGCTTCCATGGTGGAGTGAGGGGTTCAGACCCAGTCATCCCAGGTCATAACCCAATGGTCTAACCACTATACTGCATAGGTTTGCTCAATTAATCTACAAAATCTAAAAGTTAATCATCAGTTAAGCTGAGCATTTGCATAGGAATAGGCAGAGATACTAATAACATTCCTTTGTCTAACAGCCACAGGCTGGCTCCCTGTGTGAATAGGCAGGTACCTGCACACAGGTACCTGTCACAACTATATCTAGGATTCTGTAAACTGGGGCTGGGGTGGGATGGGATGTGGGGAGGGGAATTTGTAGAAATCTGTCAAATTGAAAATGAATTTGCAAAATGGTAGAAATTTTAATCCCATTTCAGTTCAGTGGGATTCCCCCTGCTGGTGAACAGGTAGGGCACTGAGCCTTCTCATATTACAGCAAATGCACAGACTTGAAAGGCTTGCATTTGCTTCTTTAAAATGTCCCAGCCAGTCAGGGTTTTAAATGGCCAGTCACAACTGGCATGTATATTACTTCAAAGCTCATTGAGGCCAGTAATAAAAACTTGGTTTTCTCTCCTATGCAAGGCACAGCTTGTTCATTTGTTTTTTTGTTTGAGGGTTTGCACGTGTGTGTAAATATACTTCAGGGTGGAAGAAGAGAGTCCTTTCAGAGAGACAGTTGGGTGCTTCTGCATATAAAGCTTAAAAATAAAACCAGGTACATGCCTTTGTTTACCCTGTGAGTAATCAACATCTCCTTTCCACCTACTTTTCCCAAGCTCTCAATCCTGCTGCGTTCATCTGCTGTTTCCACTTTTGTCTCTCTTGGGAACTGAGGGCTTCTAAATGTAGTTGCTTGCTTTAAATAGCTTAGGAAGCTCCTTTCCCCCACCACCACCCCAAGAGCTAAAGATGGTTGCAGATCCATTTCCAAGTTCCATTGTGGATGCAAGGCAGAACCCCACTCCTCTGTCCCCAGCAATACAGTTTGGTTTAAATGAATAGGACCCCCCACATGTACCCTCACTAGTTTTGCAGGCCTTCCCTCAACCCTGTGTTTATCAAAAGTGTGGTAGAGGGGGCCTAATATTGCTTAGTCTTTTTTGTTACTCATCATTTCTGTGCTGCTCCTACAGTGCAAATGTAAAGTTCCTCTCAGTCAGGCAAACGGCAGGCAGAAGAGCGGCTTGGTAGGAGTCAAGATAGGCTTCCCTCAGTGACAGATTGTACCACATGAGAGAGAGCATCCTTCCTTGAGCAAACAGGGGAGGGCATTGCCTTATCAGGCTCCATCAACACATTACAAAGGCCTCATGTTTGTTGGGAAACAACACAAGGACTTTGTATCAAACATGCAATAGGAGTTTTGTGCCTCCCAGATGCACACTGGCTCTTTCTGTTTGCAACCACAGCAGCCAGGGTTGCCAGGTGTCCCACTGTGGTGGGAGACTTTCTCCTGGCCGGAGAAATTTTTAAAAAATGTTGTTGGGCTGATGTTGCAATCTCACTTCCAGAGAAAACCCAGAAGCAACATTCTTCTTCTTCTTCTTCTTTTTCTTCTCCCCCTCCCTCTCTCTCTCTGTGAGTGAGGTGCCATCAAGTCACAGCTGACTTATGGTAACCCCAGCAAGGGGCTTTCAAGGCAAGTGAGAAGCAGAGGTGGTTTCCCGTTGCTTTTCTCCACAGAGTTTTCCTTGGAGGTCTTCCTTCCAAGTACCAAACCCGCTTAGCTTTCAAGATTTCATGAGATGGGCTACACCATGCTGCCTTTCCTCCCTCATCCCTCTCTAGGAATTGCAAAAAACCCCAAACAACTATGGTTTTACCCTAGCAATTCCTAGAGAGGGGAGTTTTACCCTAGCAATTCCTAGGTTTTCCTGAAGTGAAGTCATGCTGTCACTGCTGGTGCTCCCCCAGGTCTGCACCTCCGGCTCCCACTGGTTGCCTAGCAACCATACAACAGCACGCAGAGAGAAGCAGCTATAGCCTTATGTAGGGTTGTCAGGAGCATGTCTGGAACCCTTGGGAGCCTTTGGGGGTGGGGCATGGGGAGTGAAGTCACCAGTGCAGGAACCTGGAAGTGACATCACTGACACTCTTAGATTTCACCTGATCTCTGTGGTAAGAAGTATAGAGTTTGGGAAGATTCCTAGAGCTTTGCTGACTTCTTCCTCCCCATTTTGCTCCCTCCATTCAATTGAGAGCCAGCAGAGATGGTTGGAATGTCAGTGGGAGTTTGCCGGTCAATAGCAGGCAAATGGCAACCCTACCTACTCCCACGGTTGATTCCCCATCCTCAAGTCACCCTATGGAGCCACTGTCAGCTCCATTGTGAAACTTATGTGCAACCACGTAAACAGTGTGATTCTCATCACTAAGCTAATAATGGTTCTATAGGGTGGTTTGCAGATGTAAAAACAGAATGTGTGAGGATTTGTTTTCAGAAGACCTTTGCATTGACTTCTATCTGTATGTCTTTCTTCCAGGTAGAATTTGAGTGCATTAACCCCAAAAAGCAGAAGAAGAAACGGAGCTATAAGAACTCCGGCATCATCGTAGTGAAATCCTGCAAAGTGAGTGATCTGTACAAACTATAAAGGTTATACTAAAAAGGTTGTGTTAAAATCCTGACAGCTGCTTCTTGTAAGTAAAAGCAGGGTTTTTTTGTTTTTTTTTTAATGTAAAAAAGATTTATTCAACTGGTTCAAGATTGGGTGTGTCTGATTGGTTTTGGTGGGGAGAGTAGAGGGAGGGGAGATAGACTGAGAAAGAGAAGAAGCAGGAATAGGTTGCTGCCACTTTGCTGCCTATGAGGGTGGGAGCTGTAGCAGAGAAATGGTGATCAGGGAAGAGTTAAGCATTGTCCTTCTGCCTTCTCCCTGTTTGGTGTAGCATTAAGGAGCCAGTTTAGTGTAGGGGTTAAGAGTGCAGACTCTAATCAGGGAGAACTGGGTTTGATTCCCCACTCCTCCACATGCAACTGCTGGTGTGACCTTGGGTCAGTCATATGTTCTTTCAGAGCTGTTCTCTCAAGGGCAGTTCTCAAGAGAGCTCTCAGCCCCACCCACCTCACAGGGCATCTGTTGTGGGGAGGGGAAGGGAAAGGGATTGTAAACTGCTCTGAGACTCCTTTGGGTAGTGAAGGGTGAGGTATAAATCCAATCTCCTCTTCTTCTACTCTGCTCAAAATTCTGCCTTTTCTTGAACAAAGTAGCAATTAGTGGTTTTAATCCATGCATTTGTGTGTAGGGTGTCCCTAAGTCCCTATAATTCTTGATGCAGATAGCTTCCAAAAAGTGTATTATAAGTCTTGAATAAATTCTCAGATTCCAGAAATGCTGCTTCCACAACAATGTGGTACCCCACATTGATCACCCTGGAGGTCCCTTCCAACTCTATGATTCTGTTACTGAGCATGACTCCTGGTGATCCCTGGGATTTATTTGTTTGTTAAATTAATTTTTTTTAACCACCCTGCCTTGTAAACAGGGCTCAGGGCAGTGTACATCAGTTTAAAACATCCACACAATACAATTCATGCTTAAATAATAAAAAAATCATAAATTAAGATTAATACAAAAGTAGTAAGCCTATGAACAGTAAGATGGCGATAAGACTGCCAGAATATGCCACTGTCTCGTGGGAAAGGGGAGGAAGGGAAAACAGGCGTGCCAGCCAGGTGGAAAGCCGTCGCTGTCCTCAACCAAACGGCTGGCGGAACATCTCTGCCTTACAGGCTCTGAGGAACTGCATCAAGTCCCTCAAGGCATGGATGTTGTTCAGCAGAGAGTTCAACCAGGTGCTTGGTGGAGGACAGCAACCCTGGTTTAAAGGGGGCTCATCTCAGAGTGCTTGTTGTGGACATTCCTTCCACTTCTGCTGTGGAGACAGGGCGGAACCAAGTTCCACTTTCAAAATGGCATGGAGCAGCTCCCTGCCTGTGTCTCCCCACTCCCCCATCCTCTTTTCCCCGCTGAGCTGAGGGAAGTACTGATGTGAGCCTGAATGTCCCCGATCCTAGCTCCCACAGTGTAACCACGACACTACATTGGGACTGCCCTGGCTTCTTCCACTTTTTGACCTTACATTAACTCCCAGGTGCTTGGTGGAGGACAGCAAGCCTGGTTTAAAGGGGGCTCATCTCAGAGTGCTTGTGGACATTCCTTCCACTTCTGCTGTGGAGACAGGGCGGAACCAAGTTCCACTTTCAAAATGGCATGGAGCAGCTCCCTGCCTGTGTCTCCCCACTCCCCCATTCAGCTCCTTAAAGAGCTTTCCCCTCCTCCTCTCCCTGCTGAGCTGAGCTGAGGGAAGTACTGATGTGAACCTGAATGTCTCCGATCCTAGCTCCCACACTACATTGGGACTGCCCTGGCGTCTTCCACTTTTTGACCTTACATTAACTCCAGTCTGCGTACATGCAAGAATCAACTAGGGCTCAGTGTGAGCTGCTGCCCGTTCAGCGCGCAGGGGAAGATTGTTCCAGGGCTCCCACGCAGGCATTCCCTTAGCTGTCAATTGCCGAGTGGTTGACTTCCCTATGTACAATTCTTATTAATGTATATCCCTTCAGGAATTCTTGCTAAACATTCCACTAGCTTGATTTCCCCAGCGAACAGCTATAGTCACGTCTGATGAAGTAGGTAATAATGGCAGAATTCAGGCTCTGTAAAATAAAAAAATATAATTAGACTAAGAGGTGCAACCTGATTTCCTTAATGTTGTTGCCTTCCCCACCCCCCCGAGTGTGGAATTGGCCATAAAGGGCAAAGAGACGGCCTTGTAAACTGAGATTAGTGGAGTCTAAGGGGGGGGGACCTGCTTGTGAGTCGAAGAGAAACCCATAATGATGTGGGGGTCCAAGGAGGGTTGAGATCTAGTATTTAAAACATTCCCTGACCTGGGTGGCCCAGGCTCGCCCCATCTCATCAGATCTCAGAAGCTAAGCAGAATCGGCCCTGTTTAGTGCTTGGATGGGAGACCATCAGAGAACACCAGGGTCATGATGCAGAGGCAGGCAATGGCAAGCCAACTGTATTTGTCTCTTGCCTTGCAAACCCTATGGGATTGCCATAAATCAGCTGCAACTTGACAGCATTTCCCACTAGCACTATAGAATTTACCCTGCCCAGAGAAGGATTGTTTATTTTAAAAAAACACAAAAAACCCTAAGGCTGACAAGAGCTGCGGTCACACGGAACATTAGCCACGCTACAGAGATGGGGGCGCGATCACGCCACCACATCTGGGAAGCGTAGAGCTCCCATGGCTCACCCGAGGCTTCCCGCCAAAGATGTGGGGTAAAAAACTAGTACCTCCGAGGTACTAGTTTTCGTAAACTGCGGGGCAAGGGCGTTTCCAGTGGAATCCCGTGGCATCTGGCGCCCACCCATGTCCCGTCGCGAAAAGGTTTTTTCCCCCCAAGTCTCCACAGGATGCGCAAAAGCGCCCAATGGCGCATGCGCACAAAGAGGCCCCCTCCCACTGCAGCATGGCTTGTCGCCTCTGGAGGGTCACTATGGCCACTGTCGCGCAGGTGGTTAGAGCGGCTGTGACGAGGGGGCCCACCTCCCCCTCCATTGGCTATGCCTCAGAGCTCTGTTGGGGTCCGGAAGCGTCTGTTGCCCTCTCCGGTAAGCCCACCACCCGCCTTTGGATGTGCAGATACGATTGCTCAGTCATGCGTATGCACAAACTTCAGTTTAAAAAAAAATCTATCCCATTTGCCATGGAAGCAGCGTCTAGCGATTGCTGGTGTGATTGCGCAGTGCCGCTTCTTTGCCACGCTGCAGGATGGATGTGTGATTGGCACCTCTCCCCTAAACACGGGACCTCGATGGGGTGTCTGATCGTGCAACCGCATGTTATTTTGCACCGGGGCAAACAGCCACGCCCCCCCCCCGCATTTTCCTGCCCGTGTGACCGGGGCCAAGGATCATCATTCTGCTTGCAAGCAGTCTCAGCATTCTGCAAAAGCAACCTGTTACTTACATTAAAATTATTGCATCTTTCCTGTTCCTCCCCTCCTTTCCCCTTCTCTTTAAACTCCTTTTAAGATCACCAGAGATTATTCCTTCCTGGACTACATCCTTGGGGGCTGCCAGCTAATGTTTACGGTAAGGACTCTGACTTTTCTATTCATTTAGCTGAGATCTTGGAAGCTAAGCAGGGTCAGCCCTGGCCAGTATTTGGACGGGAGACCTCCAGGGATTACCAGGGATGTAATGCAGAGGCAGACAATTGATGTGGAGGCAGGCAATGACAAACCACCTCTGAACATCTTTTGCCATGAAAACCCTACATGGTCGTCATAAGTCAGCTGTGACTTGATGGCACTTTCTGCCACATCTGTAATAAATATGACAGTATACTGGAGAAGGCGTCCGAACTGGTATCTTGGTAACTGACCAGGAGAGAGATCTTAGTGTCATGGTAGATAACTAACTGAAGATGTTGACTCAGTGTGCAAATGCTATGCTGGGGACTGAAAACAAATCAGCCAGTATCATAATGCCCCTGTATAAATCTGTGGTGTGGCCTCATTTGGAATACTGCATACAGTTCTGGTCACCGCACCTCAAAAAAGATATTACACAGCATTGGAAAAGGTGCAGAAAAGGGCAACTAAAATTATTAAGGGGATGGAACACTTTCCCTAGGAAGAACGGTTAAAGAGGTTAGAGCTCTTTAGCTTGGAGAAACCATGATAGAGGGGTGACAAGGCTCCCTCTAAGCTGCGGAGTCTTGTGAGCAAAAATTCTACTTTGTGAGCAGCTGGCATTAAAGTTGTGAGTGAGCGACTTGGCCACTGCATAAATTAGTTTGCTTTGGAGCCCTCCTTCCTGAGCGGAGACAAAAATCTGTGAGCTGGAGGCTAAAAAACTGTGACCTAACTCACACTGACTCAGCTTAGAGGGAACACTGGACATGACAGGTTTACAAAATTATGCATGGGGTAGAGAAGGTAGAGAAAGAAGTACTTTTTTCCCTTTCTCACAATACAAGAACTCGTAGGCACTCAATGAAATTGCTGAGCAGTAGGCTTAAAACAGATCAAAGGAAGTACTTCTTCACCCAGGTTGCAATTAACATGTGGAATTCACTGACACAAGGATGGGCATCTTCAAGAGGGGATTGGATAAACATATGGAGCAGAGGTCCATCAGTGGCTATTAGCCACAAGGTACAGATGGAACACTCTGTCTGGGGCAGTGATGCTTTGTATTCTTGGTGCTTGGGGGGCAACAGTGGGAGGGCTTCTGGAGTTCTGGCCCAGCTGGTGGACCTCTTGATGGTACCTTGGTTTTGGCCACTGTGTGACACAGATGTTGGACTGGATGGGCCATTGGCCTGATCCAGCATGGCTTCTCTTAATGTTCTTATGAGAGGAGGTGCTAGGTTAAAGTCTCAATACCAGTTCAGGCTTTAGAGATGCTTAATGATTGGAAATTGGCTTGTTTAGGCTGCCAGACAGAAATGAGCCTCTTTCACATACTTCAGCACATGAGTGCCCCTTTTCCCAGTTTCTGTCCTGTGAAGCTGTCAGCAGTGTGGGGGCTGCTTCCACACATCATGCCCTTGCTTGGGGGATGGGGGTGGGGGGATTTTTCACATGCTGCTTCTGAGCATGATGCATGGGGTTCCCAGGGACCTTCCTCTTTAAGTCGAAAGCAAAGGTAAAACCTTCTTTCTGCAGTTTGAAAGGGAAAACTGGAGAGTGGCTGTGGGGGAAACTTTGTTTCAGCCAGTCGTAAACTCCATCTTAAAAATGGTGGAACTTTATGGGCTGGAGAACACTGGCTTCTGAAGATCGGAGGCAGTGAATTCCTAACAGCACAAAGGGCAGTGCTTACTGTAAATAGTTTAAAGTTTACCTTGGGGGTAAATAATAATTTTTGTGCAACGATACGATGCCTGTAGAATGCAGTTATTGTGCTCTCTTGAACTGAATGAATGGAAGTGGAAATGTATCATCCAGGGCCTTCATTTCACCCACCAGTTTGACTTAATCCGATTACAGACAGAATTCAGCTGCCCAAGGAGGAATAATTTGTGGGTATGAAACTCTGCTGGAGCGGCCTGGAGGAGTCTACAAATCCATTGTGTATGCAAGCACTGTGGATTTCAGAGTTTGTCTACTGTCAGCCCTTACTCTAATTGCAAACGAGGCATGAAGTAAAACAATTCACAGCATCCATCCAGTTATTGCGTGTATACAGGAAAACACCCTGTTAGGCAAAATGCAATTTCTTTCCCCATTTTGCTGCCAAACTCTAAAGTGGAAGAACATCCAACTACCAGCATCAGCAGTTTCCTCATGGATCTTGATAGTTTTAGGAATGCTTCCCCCCACTCCACCTTTACATGCTGTAAATGATTCCTAATGACCTTGTCACTTGAGCAAATGAGGAAGCCTGCCCCAATTAGCAGGTCTGGCCCACGTGTGAGAAAGGCTGAGTGAAGACGTTTTGGTGCCTCAGACGGAAAATCCAAATGTCATCCCCCACGCGCACGCTAATTAACAATCCACCCTGAAGTTTTCCTGCACCATCTTTGCAAGGAGCTGGAGATGGTGTTCAGTGAGGCTTGCACAAGAGAACATTCTGGTGGATTGTGCCAGCTTGAAATTTGCTTCTCTGCTGTCTTTAATGTGTTGCCCATGATCTGTAGACTTCTGTCTCGCATAGCATGCTTCTTACACCAAGAGTTTATCAAAGAAATTGGGGAGCTTGTGCCTTAGGTATGTTTTGTGTCATGGATGCTGATGAGGGGATGTTGCTGGCTTCAGCAGAACCCACAGCTGGCCCCTCTGAAGCTTCAGAGATCGGCAATTTGCCATCACTGCCTGCATTAGCACCTAGCTCAGCAACAGCTGATGAGGAGCAGCTAAAGGCAGAAAGCCCGCCCAACTCGCCCCCGCAAGTTGCTCGCTTACGAGACCGACTCCGCCAGGACTTGGCGACCAAGCAACATACAGCTTGTTTGCGGAGCAGACAGTTGGTTAGCCCTGAGTTTTGACAGACACTTGGCTGCTGGTGCCGCTGCGCTAATTGGAAACATCAGCAGAGGGCTATTCAGCTTCAGGCTCTAGGCTGGCTTCTTTGTGGAAGCAAACTCATCAACTCCGCGATGCCTTGCAACTACTCCACCTCCTGTTCCCAGTCTTCGTTCCTGCTCGTCTCCTCCGGCTTCTGACTCTGGCTTTGAATGACCTTGCTCCCGGTTTGTGTGTTGTTAATATTGATCTAAACATATTAAGTTTTGTTTCACATCCCAGTTCTTTTCCAGATATATTTTAAAGTCACTCCATTCTTGAAAAAACACGTCGTCTTCTTTGTTATTCAACTTCTTCGTAATTTTGTCCATCTCTGCCATGAACAGAACTTTTTGTATCCAGTCTTCAATTTCTGGCACTTTCTCTGTTTTCCAAAATTGTGCATAAATCATTCTCGCTGTTGTGATTAAGTACCAGAATAAAGTCTTTTTAGTTGTATTGACTTCTTCCATTTTCAGTCCCAAAAGCAGAATTTCCGGTGCCTTTTTGAAAGAGCATTTCAGAATTTTTTGCATTTCTTTGTGGACTTTTGTCCAAAAGTCAACTGCTTTCTCACAAGTCCACCACATATGATAAAATGAGCCTTCATGGCTCTTGCATTTCCAACACTTATTTGACATATTCTGGTTCATATTTGCAATTTTTTTCGGAGTCATGTACCACCTATACATCATTTTATAACAATTCTCTCTAACATTGGTACAAGGCGATATCTTAATAGAATTCGACTGGCTTTCGAGCAAGGGAAACCTTTACCTTTCTTCCCAATAGGGACCCAAAGTGGCTTACATTGTTCTCTCCTCCTGCATTTTATCCTCATATCTACCCTGTGAGGTAGATTAGCCTGAGAGAGTGTGACTGGCCCAAGGTCATCCATTGAGCTTCCTTGGCACAAGTGGAGCTTTGAACCTGGGTGTCCCAGATACTAGTCCGATCCTCTTAACCACTACACCACCCAGGCTCTCTTTTCCAACTGCCTTCAACTTTCCCTGGCCTTACTGTGTTTTTTACTGAGCCTTGCCTTCTCATGGTGTGATCAAAGTACAGTAGCCTCAGTGTAGGAATTTTAGCTTCTGTTTCGTGGAATAGGCCCACAAAACACACACAGTAAATGTGTGTTTGTTTCTGGGATTTCAAAGAATTGCACACAAATACAGTGAAAGGTTTCGAAAGGATGAGGCATTGTTGTACAGGAGAGGATTGCCTTGTTGACCTTTCCTACTTTAAAAAAAAGTTTTGAGTGCCTAATTCATGTAATGCAGATGCACACTATTTCTGGATATTTTAAAACCCTTAAAATGTTACAAAATGGCTTCAGCGTGCAACTGAGTCTGTCATTTGTCTCCATTTGTGTTGCAGAGAGCATATGACTCATGCAGACAAGGAGAAGATTCACACATCCTGTCCATAAAAATGCAAAATGCAGCCTCAGTTTGTCTTGGGGCCATGCAGGGAAGGTTTTAACCCTTCAATCTCCACTTGGTTTTGGGGGCTTCCAGTTGGTGGCGACTCGCGACGAACACACCCCATCAAGCTTCGATGGGGGCGATTTGGATCGGGGCGACAGGGAGGGGGATCGGCTGGTCCCAACCTCCCCATGAAGCTCTTGGAGGGAGCTTCTAGCCTGGAGCGCTGAAGGGGCCACTTCCGAAGTGCCGGCTTAAGGAATTGAGCTCCTTTTTGCTCTGAAAGGTCCCGCTGTCCCGAGGCCAGCAATGGCGTTGAGAGACATTACCGGACCAGAGTGTACAAGGACTTAAATAAAAAGACTAATCTACGTGGTGAAGCGACCCAGCGATTAAAGAAACAGTGAGTTAAGTTTCAAAAAGAAAGACATATGCAAAGAGGGTGGAGGAACAAATACTGATACAGCAAAATGGCATAGCTCCATAGAGAAAGAGGGGGGGACTCGCGGAGGAAGAACCCTACCCCGCAGCAAAATTTCAGCGTAAACGAGAAGCATGCCGGGCTTAGGCTATTAAAACCCCACCCTATTTAAGCGGAACACATCTGGACTAATTATCTACGTCATAGAAAAATCTTAGAACTTTTATGAACTCT